CATGCAGACTTCCCTCAGCGCTCAGGGTATTGAGACAGTGAACATCCGCTGCTTGTACGAGACTATGTGATCATCTGGGTCGGTTGTGCTATCGTAGGGTTTCATGTTGGGAATAGTAAACTTCTGGGGCATGTCAGCTAGGGCAATCTCGTCCACAAAAGGTGAATCCGCATAATAATAAGGCCTGCTTTTCTTGGCCGGGACGGCATTCCTCGGATGTGCCTCATCATTGCCTCTACATCAGCCAACCTCTTAGCTAGTGCTTGTTCCATAGGAGAGGGGGATACCACTAGCTCATCCCGTTTGATCGGGTCAACCATTGCATTCGTGCTTGGCATATTTCGTTTGGTCATCCCGCGCGGTGTAGTCTGGTGGATCATTCCTTCGTGCACACCCTAATAGCCCGGATCTCTGTTCATTCCCTCCGGTCGGATGACTCCCATGGTATGTTTCGCCCTACATGAATGGTCAGGGGGGTTGTTTGATATTCGTTCGGTCCGTCAGAATAGGAAGGCTCGAGTGCTATAGTTTGGTGGGTTGGCCATTCAACCCGTGAGGGTGAGCCGAGCCGAATGGTGTTTGTGCGGGGATGGTTGACTGAAGTTGAGGCTGGATGGTAAGAATAGGTTTGTCTTGCAGGTGTGGGCTCTTTGTCTCTTGGGCATCTTGATCTCGAAACTAGGGTGGATCGGATGAATGGGGTTCTGTTGGCAGATCCTTTCCTCCATGAGTCAGGATCGAGTTTTCGACCACCGATGAACTTAATGGACGTGGCCTTTTACCGGAGGCTGAGGGTTTATGCTCTGGGGTTTGGAGAGGTTGCATGGATGGAACTAGGGCGCAGAATCGATTGGGATGTACCTGGTAAGGCAGAAGCTCCGGATCATAGAATTGACTCACTTTCTCTTTAAGAGACTGGTTTTTGGCCCTGATGGATGTGTTTTCGCTCTGGAGTGCATTGTTATCGGCTTCCAGTATGGCCATCTTGTCTGAATTTTGTTGCATGAGAACGCTCAGAGCCTCCAGTCTAGCCTCGAGGCTAGACTTAGCGTTGTCCGAAGGGTCAGCCATGGAAAATTCCTTTACGTAGCAAGGTTCGTTGAGCTGAATGATTACTAGAGGCCTCACGGTGGGCGCCAAACTGTAGACGTAAAAATCTACCTGTACGGAAGGGGGGTCTGATCCCGTGAGGTTGATGCCACTAGCAATCTGCTACACCTGCACACGTAGAGAAACAAGCGTGAAGCGAACGGAAGACACCGGGGTGGTGTTTGCCATAGGCACTCTGACACTCAAGTCAGCAAGGCTGAAAAAGGCTAGTATAGTGAGGGCTAGGGAGTAGAGACGTTACTGGAAGTCTAGTCGGGGACTGTGACTACGGCAATGATGTGAATCTTTCAAGTAAGAGCTTCAGGTGTGAAGGTGTAATGTAATCTAATGTCCCTTGTGAGAGGGTTGACCTTTGCTTATATAGTGACTGTCTGGTCTCCCAGTCTTGGTGGCGTAGGAGTCCTAATGTGACTCTGATACAAACCCTAGAGGAATTAGGCGGTCGTGAGCTGTCTTACAAGTGTTCGAATAGGAAGGTGATCCCGAACAGGAAAGTAACCTCAAGTAGGAAAGTGACCTGAACAGGAAGGTGACCTCGAATAGGAGATTGATCTGGAATAGGAAAGTGATCTGTGGGTGCCATGGGCTCTGGACTTGCTCATAGGTCCAGGAAGTGAACTGGGATTTGGAGGCCCGGACCGATGGTTTGGGCCGATTGTATCTCGTATCAAATGAGCCTAATCCGGATGGGGCCGCATCGGGATTGAGCCTAGTCTCTTCCTCATTCAATCCTGTTCTCCTATGTGGGCCAATGACGATTTTTGGCCCTAACAAACAGTTTGCTTGATATAAAATTAAAATATAATTTTTTGTTTTGATATCAAAGGATGCAACACGTTTGCTAAAAATAAGTTAAAAACTATTATAAAAAATATAAACAATTAGAAGTTGTTTTCACGATTTTCTTATATCTTTAATTTGGAAATAGTTTTTTACATAATATGTCAAACAAATATTCAAATATTAAGATGCTTGGTTCTTTTTCTTTTTTGGAAGGATTTTTTGCAATATTTTTAAGGAACCTTTTGTAATTTCAAGGAATAATAGTTTTCGAACGCTGTTTGAAGGTTTAGATTTATCAATCTTTCATGATAGATGAAATTAACCTAAATGAAAGAAAAAACAAAAACAAAAAAAAAAAAAAAACACATATTAGTGAATACTTTGACAATTATGTAATTAAATAAATTTTGTTACTTTCAAACGGTCGAAAGAACGTGTTTTATTATTATTATTATTCTAATTTTGAAGTTATCAGTTTTTTTTTTCTTTTGGGTGATCAGAAGTGTTTGGATCAGCTTACGCGTATCTCAACTAATTCCCAAGGTCCTAAAGTTAACAATCAGATAAAACCTCGAGTGGTTATCCCTATTAGCAATTGGAGGACATCGAACTTAAAACTTCTTAAGCAATACACCAATAGTCCCTTTTGTCCCACCCAGTCATCTAGGGGTGGTTAATTATCAGGTTTTAGAAAATGATACCATGGATTTTTCTGAAATATTATAAAGGTTTTATTTTAATATAAAGTTCAATATCACATATTAAGAAAGTTATGTATGGTAATTATAAAACACATCATGTGTATTTAATATCAAACAAATTAATTTAATGAGGGTTTTCTTAATATGTACCCAACAATAGATATTAAGAATGTTACATATGGTAAATTATTAAAAACAAAATTTTCTTTTCATACTTATAATACTCTTAAATTAAATAGGTAAACTAATTATGGCAATTCTTTTATTTTATTACCTTAATTTTAATCAAATCATAGAAAAATATAAGTTTATATTAAAAGGAAATTAACTTGTTACATAAGTTCTTTCTTGTAAATTGACATAACCCAAGGTGAATGAACAAACTTATACAAAGAGTTAACTTTAATATACATATATATATATATATATATATATGGCTCCGTTTGGTTCATTATTCTGATAGTTTTTAGAATAATCTTTTGAAAAAAGTTAAATTGGGCGGATATTACGATGTAGGATTTAAAAATTAACAAAAATATCCCATATGTTTGTTTATTTACTAAACACCCTTATAATAAAATATTAGAAGTTAACAAAAACACCCACAACCCACTCATTAAATACGGACAGCCGGTCACCACTGCTGGAGTGTTTTTGCAATTTCTAAAAAAAATATTTGGGGGTGTTTTGTTAAATTAACAAATTTAGGAGGTTTAAAAGAAATTGAAAATATAAAATAATATTTTAGGAATAATAATATTTTACTGTTTAACTTTTTTGAGAATACTAATAATAATGGCTCCGTTTGGTTCAAGATTGGGAATACTACTCTTGGTATTCCCAAAAAAGTTAAACAGTAAAATACCCAAAATCTCTCATTTTTGGGAATACTATTTTCAATATTATTTAATTTTTTTTAAACCCTCCAAATTTGTTAATTTAATTAAATACCCCTAAATATTTTTTTTAAAATTATAAAAACACCCCAACAATCCACATTTACCAGATTCCGGCCACCACTACCGGAAAATGGCCGGAATCTGGTAGGATGGCGCACTACCGGCTGAATCTGGCCGGTAGTGCGCCGATCTAGCCTTTTCTGGCCAGATCCACCATGGATCTGGCCGGAAAAGGCCAGATCTAAGGCTAAAGATCTGGCCGTTGACGGCCAGATCTTTGGCCGTAACACTCGGTCACGACGGCCAACAAACGGTCGTCGTTGACCATCAACGACGACCGTTTGTTGGCCGTCGTTGAGAGCAAATACGGCCAGATCTAGCCGTTGACGGCCAGATCTGACCGTAGATCTGGCCTTTTCCGGTCAGATCCACCGTGGATCTGGCCGGGAAAGGCCATAGCGATGCATGACCGGCAAGATCCAAACGGTCATGTGCCCATAAGGCGACTCCGGCCACCTCCGGTGGTGGTCGCCAGCTAGGGGTGTTTGAGGGTGGGTTAGGAGTATTTTTGTTAACTTTTAATGTTTTATTATAGGGGGTATTTTGTAAAAAAAAAACATGAAGGGTAGTTTATTAATTTATAAATTCTACATCGTAATACCCGCCCAATTCAACTTTTTTTTAACTTTTTTCAAAAAACTTTTCCCGAAACCCCCAAATTTTGAACCAAACGAAGCCAATATTTCCAAAAACAAACCAAACGAAGCCTAAGAGATTCTGAATAACTATTTGTTACCAAATTGTTATTCTAGCATTATCATGCAAGCTAAGATTGGACAATTCACCAATGGTGAAGGTAGCATGTTGCCTAACTTAGAATCTTCCCTGATCTTAATTATTCATAACCTTTTGTACTTTTTGTTTTTGGATGTAAATTGAGAAATAGTTTGTTTCTGAAGGCATTTCACTTATTTCAAAATTTCAGCACGAATTATATAAAATTACCCTTTTTTAATAGAAAACCCAAAGTCATCATCGATACCAACCAATAAATCGGGTAGAGATAAAAACCCTATCGCTTTCTATTAATGGTATCAAGTATTTTTGCGTTTGAAATTTTGATATAAAGTTATTACCTAAGATATTTTAGCAAACCCAAAAAAAAAGGGTTATATAATATAATTTGCCATTATTAATTTATTAAAATATTAATAATTAATTAAATATAAAAAGATATCGATTTGATAATATTATCAACAGAATATTGAAATGGATGTCCATCTAAACCTACCTTATTGTGATGATAATATTAAAATTTATCACAAGAAAGACTCTTCACTCTCACTCTCCTTCTCTGTCTTTTGCACTTTGGCCTTTGCTTCTCCTCAAAGTTGGGTAGCCTAAAATACAATATTTAAAAAAAAAAAAAAAAAAAAAAGGATGGAGAGAGAATAAATCCACCACTCACTCTCTACAGCGTAAAGTAACTCTCCGGTTTGAAATAAATATATATTTTTGTTTTGTTTTTACTTCAACTTTGCACAACTAATACAAGTAGCGATAATACCACCAAAAAAGCAATAATTCTAGACAATTGAAGAGAAAATTAAAGAGGAGAAGGGGGTTTGTGTCATATGCCCACCATTAACACTTGTCTAGAGCCTCCATCTTCAGCTTCTTCTTTGTTTTTAATCAAACTACTGAGGGAAGCTCAAACCAGATGCTCTTTCAATGGGGAAAAATGACCAAAGTCTGCGCCAACGGCAGTCTCTTGAGGCTTCTAATTTGCCTCCCTCTGGGTTATGTTGTCAGAGATGTTCGGTGGTGTTTTCGGTGATTTCTCGGGAGTTTAGTGCCAAATGCGTCGTCGTTTTCCTTTTCAGTTTAGCTATTTTTCTCTCCGGGATCTTCTGGATCCTTCCCCTTCACAATTTCTTATCTGGGTTTGATGCAAAAGATGCAATTAAGCTCAGTGGTATGCAATCTCTCTCTCTCTCTCTCTCTCTCTTTCTTTCTTTATTTTTTAATTTTTCACCGTCTTTGAGCAAATGGGTATGTTGTATTTTTGCAAAATATTTGCTGAGTAGTTAGGGTTTCAATATTATTGTTTAGTGGAGTTGGATTTCTTTTTGTGATTAGGGTTTTTTTATTTTTTTATTTTTTTTTATTTTTTTATGATGCTTTAACTGTTGGATAACGCATAAGTTAATACTTCAATTATTGTTTGTGGTGCTTGAGTTGCTGATATGAACTTTGTTGTAACACTTTGAGTTGTTATTATTGCAGTCTTTGATTCAGTGGTTTATGATTTCTTGTATATTTAGTACAGGGTTACGTGCCCATTGTTCTGCTGTTTGGCAGGGGTTGTGAGCATTTGTTGTTCTATAATTAATTTTTTCGACAAGTTTGGAGAGATGGTACTTTGGTTTTTAGCATAAGACCAATTATATTGAGTGTTCCTTGGGTGGAAATATTTTGGATAGTTTCAATGTATCTGGTTGGCTATCAAGGCCTGTATAAGTTTGATCACGATCGCGATAACTATAGTTTCTTTTGAGCAATCATTAAATTTCTATTGCTGCAGGAGGATTTTAACTTGTTTTATCTTGGTTAATGTGAACAATAAATTTTTGAAATGCCTGGAATTGTTACTGTGTTCAATTATTTTCTAAAGGATCATAGATAAGCAAGCCTTTGTTGTCAATGGCTGGTCTGGAAATTTCCTGTTAAATAATGGATTTGTTTGTTGGTGTGTGCAGAAAATCCGGTGTTCATATTTGAACATATTTATTGGTAATCTTTTTAGAGAATACAGGAAACACATAAAAACAAATCTGCTTTAACCTGTCCACCATAATTTTTTTTTCTGTGAACTCTTCTACAATATGGATCTTTGCTTTGTACTTCACCAATTCCTAAAATATTTGGTCTTTTTTTTCATATATAATTGTGTTCTTTTTTCTCTGAACTCTTCTACAATATGGATCTTCGCGTTGAACTTCATCAATTCCTAAAATATCTGGTCATCTTGTTATTTTTTTCATATGTAATTGTGGACTTTTTGGATCTGTTTGTTGTGTTGATCATCTAAAACAACTTTAACACCAATAAATCTACAGTTGTATCCAAATAAATTTTCCCTCCGTTCAGTTCTTGGAAAATTCAAATGAAGCAAGAAAATGGTTTAATAATATTATGAAAAGAGACCATTTATCAGCTTTCTCTAATCCATTTTTGAGTAGTGCTATTGACGTAAATTGACATCAGTAGGACTAGTAGTTTAGATCATTACTAATTAATAAAAATAAATAAATAAATAAATTAGTTGTCTGACCATGGATTTTGATACAGTGTAAAATCGCTGTACAATTTGTCTTACGAAAAATTCTATATTTGCGTGCAAAGATGTAAAAGCAATATACCCTTTATGGTTTTATTTTCCAAACTGCATGTTCGGATAAACTTATTAAGTTTCTTGCATATTATGGTAAAATTTTAATTGAGACAAGGATTTCTTTTGGTTGGTAGGTAACTATATTTATTAGTATTTGATTGTATTCAGGTATTAACATGAGTTAGTCTTGGTCTGCTTTGGCTGTTGGTTCTTATGTGTTTGTCATTCTATTTTTTACAGCAACAGTTCAGGCATACTTCAGACTGGAGATGCCAGTTTCACAGCTTGTTCCACATATAGAAAGATTAGAGTACGATCTCTACGAGGAAATAGGTGTCCCAGATGCAAAGGTTTCAATTCAAGTCTTTCCTTCTTTCTTTTTTATTTTTTTTATTTAAATTAATTGTTAAAAGTGTAAAAGATTGATATAAAAGCTGCTTCCTCAATTGCTCTTTATAGGTGGCTATCTTATCTATGCATCAATCAGGTGCTTCAAATTGGACCAATGTGGTATTTGGTGTTCTTCCTGATCCAATAAATGATCCCATAAATCCCGTGTACCTAAGTGTGCTTAGATCATCTTTAATTGAGTTATTCCTTCAGCAATCAAATCTAACTTTGACAACATCAATTTTCGGGCGGCCTTCTACGTTTCAGATTTTGAGGTTTACAGGGGGGATCACCGTAATTCCTCTGCAAGCTGCTTCCATTTGGCAGATACCGCAGATTCTATTTAATTTTACTCTTAATAATTCCATATCTGAAATAGAGGCGAACTTTGTTGAGTTGAGGGATCAATTGAAGTCTGGATTGCATCTGAGGTCTTATGAGGTAAATCACTGGTTCTTTCAACTTTCAGCATGTAGCTTTTTGTGACTGCTTGTGCTTTGGATGGGTTTCCTTTTTTTATACTACTTTTCCATGTATATGGGTCTACTTATCATCAGGTTTAGAAATGGAAATAAGATTTATGGCTGATATGTACTAGTTCAATTGCATTATGTTTTATTTAAATATAGAAAGGGGATAGGAGAAAACTAGGTGTAGTTTTATTTACTATTGGGTACTAAAATGTAGATCCAGATCCATTTCGGCCTTTTGACTGGTAAATAGTTGTCAGTGATAGCCTTTACATAAATATTGTAAACAGTTATTTGCTATGTTGAAAACTGAACTTGGACATGTTTTCCTGCATATCGGAGTCACATCATGGCATTTGTATGCAAAATATAGCAAATTTTGAATAATGTCTTTGTTCGTTTTCTTCTTTTTCTTTTATTTATTTATGATCAAATTTCACACACACACAAAGGGAGAGGGCTATTCAACCAGCTGGTCTGGTGTGGTGTGGTTTACAAAATATAGGTTATATGATAACTAATTGATGCCTTTGTGCACAATTGCATATACTCTGTTTTAACTTCTTGCCGTCCCCTTCTATATGATGCAGAACGTGTATGTGCAAGTAACAAACACAGAGGGCTCTACAATAACTCCACCAGTCATAGTTCAGGCTTCAGTCATGTCAGATCTGGGGAGCCTTCTACCTCAGAGATTGAAGCAATTGGCTCAAACAATCACGGATTCTCCGGCTAAGAATCTTGGCCTTAATAATTCAGTATTTGGTAATGTTAAAAGTGTCGTTTTATCTTCTTATTTAAAGGGTACACTTCATGCAACTCCTCCAACTCCTTCACCAGCCCCATCCCCAGAACCATCAATTTCCCCATCTCCTGCTCATTCTCATTATTCTCCAGCACCATCACCTAACATTAATCACTATCCACCCTGTTTGAATTGTGAAGTTTCTTTTCCACCTGATTCTGGTGATCTCTATGCCCCAAGCCCTGAAAGTGCCCCCTCTCCTGCACCTTCAGTTGCAATTGCTAACTCTCCTTGTTATCATCCCACTTTTCCTCCAAGCTCTTCACCAACGTCTAATCCTCACCCTGCTCGTTTACCCCCAATGCGTTCACCACAGTTGGCTCCTAGTCTATCACCATTACCTGCAGTATCTTATGGTTCTGGTCCAGGCCATGACATGGGAAGTGCAACAGCCCCAGTTTACCCATCACTTGCACCATCTCCATCGTGTAAGTTACTATTGCCTATATAAAGCGCAAGTGTTTATATTATCTTATTTTATTTTTCTTTTCTTTTTCTTGTTATGTAAATTTGCCATGCTAAAATAAGCTGTAGCTTAATCTTGTTTAAATGGAGGTCTTCCTGATAGTGTAGTATCTCAAACCTTCTGTATTCATTTTCCTTTTGGGCCTAAATATGAGAGACTGGTATCAACTAGTGCCAATAAGTATGTCAGTTTCTTTGGCTTTTTGATTATGAACTGTGGGTTTTGTTAATTCTATATTAATATAAGTTATGGGCTTTACTAGTAACTCTTGTTGTGTACAACTTTAAGATAGAAAACTTTGTTTTGAACCAGAAATAAATAAATAAAACTAATTCTTGGTATATGCTGATTGAACTTTTAGTATCTATGCGCTGGGATCAACTTTTGCTTGTAAATGGCTTGTTCTTGGGAACTTGTGAGAAGCTTCCCCTGCTTTCTTACCTAATTTTTATTATATGCAGTATCTTAATTAATTTTTGTGTGTTCCAATTCCTGTATTGCTCAGTTCTCTGTTATGTAGGTTTTCTGTTTGACAATTAGGTCTATCTATGCTTGAATAAGCTTTAGCTTTATTCTCTATATTAATTACTCCCCATGGCACTTAGGTCTTAGGTATTTGTCTTGGTATATTTAATCTCCAATTCTAAGGTACTGGTAACTATTTTTTTGGTTTTCACTCGTATATGTTTGTGTTATCTTAGCACTGGAGGGTTATGTCTATAGAGTTAATGGTGTTATATCTTAAATGTATCTGTATTGATTTCTGGAGCCGCCTCTATTGTTTCCAAAATTTTGTTTATTTAAGCACCCTCGTCACATACTGATTATTCAAACTAGATTTTTTTTGTACATGGATCTTCAACTTCTCTCTTTTTTAAGATAGGCATACTGAAACCAAATAATTTAGGGTGTGGATATGTAAAATAAATACAAATACGTATTTTAATTAAATCCATTTTGGGAGTTGGGTGCGGCATTCTCTTTCTAGGAGGTTTATTGGAAATCTTTGGCAAGGAGCTCCTATTGTTGATGGTTCAGTATTTTGATTACTAGAATGCTACTAGTGATGAAAAGTCTCATCAATATAACTTTGGTTGGTGATAAACTGCAACGACCAGTTTCTTGCTTTGAGTTTCGAAAACCCTGGGGTCTAGTATGAGAATTATCTAAGAATAAGCTCAGAAAGCTGAAGCAACTAACAAAAGTACAAGTTTATAACGTCGCTGGCAAAGCAAAATACCTTAAGTGCTTAAAGAAGCCTAATAACCCAACTTTTTATGTTAAACCTTTTCATGGTGATTTTTTTATTTTAAGCCAGTTGGTAACTTTTTGCTGCACATGCATTGGTGTTCTATGATCTAGTAACATGTTCTTGATGATCATTACAGTTGAATTTGCTCGTGCCTTAATGATACTACATCTAATCGTGGGGAATGTATTTTCTTTGTTGCGTGCTTTTGCAGCTTCTGCAGCGGGTCTTTTCTTCAAGGAGATCTGGTTATTCGGATTTTCTGGACTCCTCTTGTTTCTTATCCTTTGTTGGTCATACTGACAGCACACACTTCATCCTCATAATACTCCCTAAACAGTTTTTCACCACAAAGCATAATGACATTAAAACAGAGTTTTGTTCTGGCGGGAATGACAGAAACTCTTGCGAAAAGTTTCTCCAGTTTTTCATTTTCCCCCTTTCAGCTTCTAGTCAATTGACATAAGTGTAAATGAAGAAGAACCAGGTCAAAGCCAAAAAGATGGCAGGCCACCCAGTCCACTGAAGTGTTCGCCTTATCGAATGAGAACATGAGGTATGTTCTTCCCAAAGGGAACAGATTTCTTTGCAGATTTTAAGAAGAATCGTCATTCTTCTGTATTGATCCAAGTGTAAACACATGACGGTTCTTTTTCGAGTATTTGCAATTTTTAGTGGAAAGCAAAACATGTGATGCGGAATGGAATATAAACTAGTTCCATAAATTGCTAATCAAAAGATGGATACTTGTATATATGAATTCAACATCTGATTTTTTTCTTTCTTTGAGCTGGTTGATGAATAAATTAGACGTGGTCATCTTTTTTTTTTTTTTTTTTTTCTTTTGTAAGGTGAAATTATTGTATTTAATTTTTTTCACTTAAAGAGGCTCTGTTCCCAGACCGGACCGGTCCAATCGGGCACCGATGCTGACTTTGGTCCTATCCGCAATAAAACCTTTCTCTCACGCTTCCTTGGTAGTAGTTGCAATTGAGATCTTTTCAAACCCATCATCATCAAGGGCTTCATAGATGGTAAAGAGAGCTTTCTTGTCTCTCTTTCTTGAATCATTTGGAGTATACCTTTGTGCTTGGGATTGTTAGGAAATGATCTAACTCGTGGCAACGGAAAACAAAAACTTTGAAAGCATAGGCCGTTCCCATTAAAACCAAGATCAGGGCACAGATTATACAGTTTATATGTTAAATCAAAGAATTTGCAGTAATATAAACGATCAGAGTAAAGTTTAGAGTTCATACGCACGTTTGGAGGCTCCTTCAAACTTGTCTCTGAATCCTTTCACTATCGATCCAAGAATAGGATCGAACCAGTGGTAATCCACACGAAGATAACCTGAGAAACCAAAGAGGGATTTGCTAGATCCTCTTTGGTTTCAAGAATCAACTTGAATCAAAGTAAAACTTTGATTCAAGTGCTAAGGGGTGGCATGAGAGTAGAGAGAAAATGGAGAGAGGGCTGCCTTATTTCATTCAAATAAGTGAACAAATGAACCTTTTTTTATTTCTCTCAATACACATGCACTTATATAGTGCATGTGTAAAACCCTATTCCAATGAGGAATAGGCTTAGGCTCCAACCCAAACAGCCCTTTATGTCCAAACACTGCCAATCATGATATTTTATTTTAATTATTATTATTTCAATTAAACTCAATTAATATATTTATAAAATATATTAACATTTAATAATAATAATAATCCATTTAAATATGTGTGTGCATATATTTAAATATAATCTCACTTATTTAATTTTAATATCAAATTAAATATAGGCAACAACTTCAGCAAATTTAATTGTACTGTGAGATTACCAAAATATTTTTTCGCCCTAAAAAACGAAAACGCCCCTTGCACAAACTGATTCTTAAATTATCTTCTATGTGTGTGACCCATAGGCTCCTCATCATATCGGTAGTGAGTAATATCACGATTAACACCAATTAATCTCACTACACACAGACCAAGATTGGCCCCTAGCAAGGCATAATGGCCACCCGATAGATTCGGATTCAGCAAAATAACTACCTATCAACGATATGGTTCCGGTGTAATCAAATCCTTTCATCATCTATTATCTCAACGAGACTAGGGTATAGAAATAGTGTCAACCTCAGTTATCCTCGATATATTTGTATTCAGTTACTGGACCAATGACCAAAATAATGAATTGGATTGAGCAACAACTCAATCCCACAGTGATCACAGATTCATTGTCATTGTCATTAACTGAACTGCGCCGTGAGATAACTTCTCCGGTACCCGGGAGTGATGAATCCTCTGTCGATCCACCATAGTCTTGATACACTCGTCGATGTAGCCAATCACTACCGTATTGATAGCTCTGAATAGAACTATGTTGGGCTAGTGTCAAACTACACCAATCGGTGCACAAGGCGCTTCGGTGATCTCAAGTCTAAGGATCACATGCACCACCATTCGTTAGAGGATTTGTTCCATAGACACTAGGGTTACCATCTATATAGAATCCTCTAGTGGGTCAGTCTAGTGAACTTGCATATAGCAAGCACCCATGTATTACACCAGGTTATCAGCAAACAACCTTGACAAGTGAGATCTGTCACTACCTTTCAACAGGGTCATTCAACACTATGATAGCCGTACCGTATTATCTGTGTCCTTGGTCAAAATAACATAGGGGCTTCAGACATTTCTAGAATGGCCACCATATGTGCTCATAGGTTTCTCACTATCAAAATTTCAAACACTTGATACCCTCATTGTAACGCCCACATAGAGGTATGTAATTTAATTTACGAAAATGATAGAGCCACCGAAGATTGCACACCGAATCTGTGCACCGAATGATGTGACAAAATCCTGACCGTTGATTAATATTAACTGATAATAAATCAACGGTCAGAATTTTGTCACGTCATTCGGTGCACAGATTCGGTGTGCAACCTTCGGTGGCTGTAGCATTACTCTTTAATTTATGTTCTTATACCCTTAGTTGAATTTTGTTAAAGTTATTTTGAGAAAAATGTGAAGAAAATCCCTTAAACTTTCATTAGGGGTAAAATGGTCTTTTCACTCAAAATTAGTTAAAAAATTGGGAAGTGAAAAGAGATAGAATTTCATGGAGAATGCAATAAAAATGAGGGCATTATTGTAATTGACTAAGGGACACAGATAAAATTTCCAAGAAAGAGCAAGGGCAAAATGGGAAGGAATGTGTTAATTGTAAGTTAATAAGGGTTTGGGTTTAGAAAACCCTTCATTTTTTTCTTCTCCACCGCCATTCCCATTCACCACTTTCTCTCAACTCTTCTTTCAATATTTCAAGAATTTTAGAGGGTTTTTTGAGTAGTTTGGGGTAGAAAGTTAATCTAAGGCATCCTAAGGTAAGGATTCTTGCTTTAGATATGAAGTTTTGCTTATATATGTATATTGAAGTCTTATGGTTTTATTGTTTAAAGTTGTAGAGAAGAGACAAGCTATCAAAGGAAAGGAAAAGTGTTAGTGAAATCTCTCCATTACAAGGTAAGTAAATCCAACCCAAGTTGAGATTTGAGAAATCCTTTGAGTAGAAATTGAGTAGAGATTTATGTATGTATAAGTATGTTATGTTATTGAGATGAATATTTGCTTTGTGGTTGTTGAATACACTTCAATTATGAGAAGTGTTGTTGAGTGATGAGAATGTAGTTTGAGATGAAATTAAAATAATTAGAGAAGTATTGTGGGAGTGTTTGTGCCGTGGGGTTATGGTGATGATACAAGAGAGTTTTTCTCTCATTTTGGATAGTTTAGGAAACAAATTGAATGATAATTAAATTAGGGTTTGTTTAGGCACAATTGTTGTTTGATGAAATGCCTAAGTGAGAACATGTTACCATGGTTGCCTGTTACAGCTGTGACCTTCTGAGTGATTTTTGGGCATCTTACAGATTGAACAAGGTTGAGACCAAAACATAAACGTTGTCGCCCTATCTCTAAGCTTTAAAAAGAGACCAAAATCATAGCAATCCAATGTGTATAACTCAAGTTATGCCTTCTTGAGTGTGACCTGTGCAGAATGACTATCTTGATGCAACATTGCATTTGTGCATTAAGTAAGAAATTTTAAGCATGAACCATCCTTATACATTAATTGTGCATTGAGAAGTAGCTTAAGAAATAGTAGAAAACTTTGTGAATGAACTACTCTAAGAGTAGAGAGAATGAGAAAAACACAAAGAGCGGGTTAGTGCTTTGTGAACTCCACCCGGCAGTCACGAAGAATGGGTTGGTGCTTTGTGAACTCCACCCGGCCGTGCCTCCGGTAAGATGAGGCCATGACATTCAAGTGAGAAAGAATAATGAGAGAATGAGTAGAGTCATGAAGAGCGGGTTGGTGCTTTGTGAACTCCACCAGGCCGTGCCTCCGATAAGATGAGGCCATGACTTACAATAGAAAATTAATAAAAGAGAGCTGTGTGAAAGAGAAACAGAAAGAGAAAATAAATGAGACGAGAAGTGTGTAAGGAAAGAATTAAGAGAAAGAGTTACGAGGACAGACGAGTAGAGGATTTACTTACTGAGTATTATTTTTGTGCTCACCTCGTTGTTTTTCTTTGTGTTTACAGGATCTAGGTGAGGACACGGTCAGATTGGCATCGGTAAGCGAGGAGCAATAGCTACACCGTCCACTGTTTTTGATAACTTTTTTGTAAAATGATATCTTATTTGGTAATAAGAACGTTTATATGTAATAAAAGAAAATTTTGGGCCCATCTACTTTTGTTGATATAAATGTATTTTACTTTATGTATTTCTATGAGTATCCTAGTATAAAGGAGTTATTACACTTGTGACGGTTCTACCATTCTATGAACATATATCAATACATACAACTATGGTTTACATGATATAGTAGATAATGTCTTTTATTTATTAATAAACATTATTACAAAGAGTCAATTCCACAATAATTGATTGGCTCTAAGGCACCTACTCCAACAGGGATAGGACATCCTCATCTTCAGGCTCCCATTAACCTTTCTCCACATTCTCCCATATGTCTTGCAACCCGAGCAATGCTTTCATCTTGATGCTTTACTTATCATAGTTGTTTTGGTTAAGCACTGGGAACTTGGAAGAAAACCATCTCAGTTGCCATCTTTAAGATCTTTATAGCTCTGATACCACTTTGTTGGAAATGGAGTTTTTAGTTCAAAGCTAATTAGGAGGAATTGAGAAGAGAAATGTTTTCGAAGAGAGGATTACTATTGTTTCTCAAATTTGTCTTGTACAAAATGTTTATAGTGCTCAAGGGAGCTTTCTACACTCCAACTTCCAACTACCGCCTACCCTAATAAATATCATCTACTACCTTCCACAATTAATAACTACCTAGCAACTCCTAATAAATGAGATATTTTTATAAGATCTTTCTAGTTACAAGTAGGGATGAGCGGTTTCGGGTACCCTACATTTTTTGAAGGAATCGGAATTGGAATCGGTCGGTTTTGGTTTCAGTTCTTAGAAACTTAGAATCGAAACTTGAACATAGGTTCCCGGTACCCAATTTAATTTCAATTATCCCCCTATATTTAAAAAAAATGACAAATACACACCCAACAGTTTACAAAAATTATAATTCAGTCCCTACCCGAGTACTCGAACCTCAGTTTCGGTTCTGGTCCGATTTCGGTTCCCGATTCCAGCACTGTAGGAACCAAAACTGGGCCTAGGAATTCTCGATTCCAATTTTCCAAAACCGAACCCTAATGGGGTTGATTCCAGTTCTACCTTTTACCCATACTCACCCCTAGTTACAAGGCCTATTATTTGGGCTAAATACATGGGTCAA